ATGCCGTCGGTCATGAACTTGATGGCGGTACTGTCGCCCACCCGCCGGTCGTACCGCACCTGCAGGCGCGGGGCGGGGGCGGGGCGGTCGCGCGGGCTTTGGGGTCTGCAGGGCGGGGCGGGGGCGGGGTTGCCGGCCCTGGCAGCCCCCAGTTGCTGCGTGGAGTCGGGGCCGCTTCCCGCCCAGCTTCGCCATCCCACACACACCAGCCATGTGACAGACACACTATCTCTCTCTCTCTCTCTCTCTCTCTCTCTCTCTCTCTCTCTCTCTGGCTCTCTTCCTTCCCCACCACCACACACACACACACTTGCCTGGTACCCCACCACCTGCCCCAGCCGGCTGTCCAGCTCATCGGCCACCCGCTCTGCGGTGGAGATGGCGGCGACGCGGCGCGGCTGCGTCACGCCCACCGCCCCCGCCCGCTCCGGGAACAGCTTGCACCCAAAGCCGGCCTCGTACAGGAACTGGGGGACCTGCGGGGCGCAGCGTGCATGGCATGGCACAGCGTGCACGGCATGGGGTGGCGCGGGGCTGGAGGCGTGGAGGCGAGGGGGTGAGGGAGGGCCGCGGGGCGGGGCCGCAGCCCCGCTGCAGCAGCGGGGCCCGGCAGCAGCAAGAGGCCTGGCCGGCGTGGTGCCTGGGCAGTCGATCCTTGGCCGCCGCCCGCCGCGCGCCCACCTGCGTGGTCTTGCCGCACCCCGTCTCCCCGCACAGCACCACCACGTCGTGTGCCGCCACCGCCTCCATCACCTCCTGCTCCATGCCGATGATGGGCAGGCCCTCCCTGCGCCAGCCAGCCAGCCGGGCAGGCAAACCAGTGTGATTGGTTAGTCTTTGTTTAGGGAGCCAGCAACCAGCATATGAAAACACACCATGCCATGCATGCGGGCGCAGCCACCGGCTGCGAGCCAACGCAGACAGGCGCCGCCTCCCCCGCCCCACCTGACTGCCTCTATCTCGGGCCGGCGCTGCACCAGCACCACTCGGGGCTTGCCGCCGCCGCCGCCGCCCATCGCCTGCCCGCCCGCCCGCTGCTGCTGCTGGCCCGGCCGCTGCTCCTCATCCCGCTCCTCGCCGATGCCCAACTGCTGTTTGGTGGCCGCCGCCGCCTCACGCAGCAGCTGGGCCTGGCGCTTCTGGTCGGCCTGCTGCGCCTGCTGCGCCTGCTGCGCCTGCTGCGCCGCCGCCGCCGTCTGGGCCGCAGTGGCCTGCTGCTGGCCAGGCGCGGGCGGCGCCGGCCCCGTGCGCTGCCTCTTCTTGGCCGGCGGCCAGGCCGCGGCTGTGCCACTGGCGCCACCACCGGCGCCCTCCAGCCTGCCGCTGCCCTCCTCCTCGCCGCTGCTGCCGCTCTCGCTCTCGCTCTCGCTCTCGCTCTCGCTCCCCTCCTCCTCCTGCTCCTCCCCCTCCTCCTCGCTGCCTTCTGAGGAGCCTCCCTGCTGCTGCCCCGCCCCCGGCCGCCGCCGCTCCTGGTACAGGCGCACCGAGGAGGGCAGGCTGACGCCCGCCCGCTGCAGCTTGAGCGCCCGCCTAAGGGCCTGCTTCTTGGTCTCGCGCTGCCCCTGCGTCGTCACGGGGCGCAGCAGCTGCAGCTCGTCCTGGTGGAGCTGCAGGGGGCGGGGTGGGAGGGGCCGGGCGGGGGCGGGGTTTGGTGAGCTGATGCGACGCGGGTAGGTTCGGGCGGACGCGGTGATGGGTGCTGGGTGCCGCAGCGGCCACCAGCCAGAGCAGCTGGCACATGTGAGACGCAACAGGGAGCAAGCCGGCTGCGCATGCATGCTGCGCCACCCACGAGCAGTCGCCTGCCGTCCCGCTACTCGTACCATCCCTTCCCCACACACACGCCCACCCCACCTGGTGCTGGGCCAGCGTCTGCATCACGTCTGCCCGCTTGGCCCGCTTGTCCTTCTCCTCTTGGATGCGGCGCAGCTTGCGCTGCTGCGACTTGCTGAGCTGCTTCACGGGCGCCGCCGCCTCCGCCGCCGCCGCCGCCGCCGCCGCCTCGCCCTGCCTGTCGGCCTTGGCCGGCAGGATGGCGGCATTGCTGTCTTCGATCAGCCTGCAGGTGCACGTAACAGAAGAGTGAGCCTGCGGCAGGCTGTTGTCGAGCGTGGGCAGAGCGGCATGTGCGGCCTACCTCGCCAAAGCCTCGTCGGGCATGACCTCCAGGCCCGTCTCGGCGTGCTTGTACTTGAGCGACTGCACAGCCTTGTGCTTCCTGTCCCGCTTGGACCTGCCCCCCTTCTGGCGCGCCATGGCGGCTGCAGCCCCGTGACACGCTGCTGCGGCTTGCAGACGGGTATGTAAACAATGCATGCAGCCGCTGGGATGCAACAGGCGTTGCCACTTCCACTTCCACTTGGGACAGCGTGGCGCCCGAGACGTTGATCTACAAGCAGCAGCCCTCTGTGCCCCAGGCGACATTCTCAAGCACACACCATGTCGACCCTTCATCGTTCAGCAAGGGTTGTGGGCTGGCGGCTGCCCGTGGCGCCGCGCAAGGCGCGCCGTGTGCAGGCGCTGCCTGGACACCAGTCCATGGACTCCTGGGAGCGACTGCTGCTGGCCAAGAGGCGCGCGGGGGCGGGTGCTGCCGGCTGGGGTCTTTGCTGGGGCGGCGGCGGCGGGGGTTGCCAGCGCGCCGCCCGCTCACGCTCCTGCCGGGCCCCCTGGCCTCGCAGGAAGATGGAGCTGGCGGTGCGCGAGGAGGACTATGCCACGGCGGCAGAGGCTAAGACAGAGGTGGACATGCTGCGGGAGCGGCTGCCCTCTGACAAGCTCGTGCTGGCCAGCCTGCTGGAGCGCGTGGAGGGGCATGTGGACGGGCGGCAGCAGCCGGGCGGCGGCCAGGGGCGTCAGGCGGCCATCCGGCAGCTGGGGGACCTGGGAGACATGGCCGCCTGCCCCGCCCTCAGCACCTGCCTGCATGACAGCGACGCCTCCACGGCGGAGGCGGCAGAGGAGGCGCTGTGGGCCATCTTCAAGCGGTGAGCGGGGCTCCAAGGGGCAGGGGGGACGTGTAGCACTGGCTGCCCAGCTCGACGACGCATGCATGCATGCGTGCGCTGCGTCACCGGCGCCGCAAGCTGCTCACCCCTGCCGCCGCCTGCCTGCGCATCTGGCTGCCGCCTGCCACACCCGCAGGTGCCCCACCCCCGAGATGGAGCTTCAGATGCAGCAGGGCGAGCTGCTGATACAGCGGCCCGAGCAGTGGGAGCAGGCGCTGGCGCTGTACACCGAGCTCATCGCCAGGCAGCCCAACTTTGCAGAACTGTACAACAAGCGCGCCACGGTGCGCTTGCTTTTCGATCTATTGTTTGCTTTGCTTGCTCCCTTTCCCCCCATGTGCCTTCGGCCCGATGTACCTTCGGTCCACTGCATGCGTGCATGCGTGCGTCCATGCAGGTCCTCTACCTCATGCAGCGCTACCACGCCGCGGTGGTGGACTGCCGCGTGACGCTGCAGATGAACCCCTGGCACTGGGCCGCCGCCTCCGGCATGGGCATGTGCTACGGCGCCGTGGGCGACACCAAGGGCGCCGTCACCGCCCTGGAGCACGCCGTGTCGCTCAACCCGCGCCTGGGCCACCTCAAGCAGCACATCATGCAGCTGCGGCAGATCCTGCGGCAGGAGGAGGGCAAGCAGAGCAGCGAGTGAGTGATGCCGCGGGCAGACCGCAGGCTTCCGCCGAGCCGCAACGAACGAACGACGTGCCTGCACCCTTGCGCCTGGCGACAGGAGCCAGGCCCGGGGTGCCTGCATCCACGAGCATCCCAACGCCTGAATGTATTCTTTCCCCCGCTTCTCCCCATGTTGTTCTTTGCTAATACTCAGCCAAACGAATGCCAAATGTATTGAAATTGGGTTTTAGGGGCTTTGCTTTCTTGCCCCATCCGTGTTTTGCCGTTCACTCCCCTGGCACGTGTATTGTGAGACGGGTGGCGCACAGCCACGCTTGGGTATATAATGTTTTTCAGTCATGCATGGTCATCAATCGCAAAGCCCTTTTCCGCCACTCTTCCGTAGCTTTTTTCAGAGCGCTTGAAAAGAACCGGTCCTGCTGTAACTACCCCCGAGTCTGCTGCGCTTGCTGGGGCGGCCGGTGGATTCAGGTTTCTTTTGAGTAGGATGATGCAGGCGGTGGGCATGCCCATTGTTCAGTGCCTTTGTGGTTGTTGGCGCCCACGCCGGCACTGCCGCCAGCGGGACGCAAGGTGTACACATCTCCGCGGCCCACAGATTTTTCCTAGGGATTGCCGGGGCTATATCCGTTGCAATTGCCTCCATCACATCCCCCCCAAGCACCACGGGCTGCCTGTGCTTCACACACGAAACCTAGCGCATCTGGGGTTTTGCATCCAGGGGGTGGGTTATCTCCCACTGCCCTGGTCCCTTGCAGGCATCGTGCGGGGCGTCTGTCTCGTTGCCAGCCGGCTGCTGTTGCCCTTGCGCGCTATGCATCCGCCGACACCCCAACCCTCGTTGGAGGTGGTTGCAGCCGCCAAGTCCTCCTCCGGGCGAGCCAATGCCCACAAGGCGGCAGCAGCAGCGGCGGGCAAGGCGGTGCAGAGCGAGGGCGGGGGGCAGAGCCCCAGCCCGGCGGCGACCGATGCGCCTCAGCTGCTGTACGCCGCCGCGGCAGCACCTGGGCACACCCTGCCAGACCATGTGGAGCAGCCTGCACGCGTGGACGTCATCCTGCAGAAGCTCAAGGCCGCAGGCATCACCACCTCGGCCTTTGAGGGGCAGGTAGGGGAAGGGAGGGGCGGGGGCACCCCGCCGCTGCACACTGCTGACATGCCAAGCCCCCTGGCGCACACACGATTCGTTGCCACGGCGTGCCGCCGCTGCCCCTGCCCCCCCCTGCAGCTGCGCCAGGTGCCCGCGGCCCAGCTGGCCCCCCTGGAGGATGTGCGGCGGGTGCACAGCTATGTGGACGAGCTGCGGCGGGTGGCGGCAGAGGAGGCGCCCAAGGCGGTGGCCGACATTGGGGACCCGGGTGAGGAGCGGCGGCGGGTGCAGCGGGCTGCCAGCCGCATGCAGTGGCATGCCCTGCCGCTAGCTTTGCTCGGCGGTACGCCCGTCTATGCCTTGCCGCCGCCGGCCCTGCCATCTGCACCCCCCCCCCTTGCCGTCCCGCTTCCCAAGGCCCTCCCACTCCACCCGCTCCTCCCCCCGCCCCACCCTTCCCTGCGTGTGCTCCCATGCCCCCAGACGGCGTCACCTACGTCACGCAGACCTCCTTCGACGACGCCCTGAGGGCCGCGGGCGCCGCCACGGCCCTGGTGGACGCTGTGGTGTCCGCCAGCCGCGGCGGGGGGCCCGGCACCGCCGCCTTCTGCATCACGCGCCCGCCGGGGCACCACGCCACCGCCGACACGCCCCTTGGCTACTGCCTGTTCAATAATGTGGCGCTGGCGGCGCGCCACGCGCAGCGCCGCCACGGGCTGGCCAAGGTGGGCGGACAGGGCGGCGCGGCGGGCCTGCGTGTGTGTGTTGCAGGGGCGGGGGCGTGCCTGGCCGGCGTGGGCCTGGCAGGGCGCAC